GTTTGAAAGAAGAAGGGGGGGGGGGGGGGGGGGGGATTTGTCTGAAAATGATTCACACAAATACATCTGTGATTTACACATGTGGAAAGGCCCCTGCTTCCTCCATCCACTAGGAGGCAGTGTTGCTGTGTCAGTTGCAGACAAGTCACCTTCTGTTTTGTGACAAAAAATGGAAATGCTGTCTATCTTATGTGTTTGTTTAACACAAGTTGGGAAACAAAATACAACCGTGAGTTGTTTCCCTCAGGGCTGCTTTGCCAAAGGACATTCTTCTTCTGCTTTGGCTGCCTGACGTCTTGCATGTTTTACAATTTTTAAACGAAGAACAGGGGATGACTCGCTCCAGTTCAATGGAGGGAGCAACATCCCCTCCTTGCGGACGGAGGGACGGCCTTTTGGCCATGTGAAAGGCTGAAACCTTTGTGTGAATGAATGCGTTGAAACTGCGTGACATCGGCCTCAAATTTAAATGCTGATCCACAAATTCACATTTAACAATTCACAGGCAGAATTGAACTTAAAAACCCACATCCCACTGAGCGGCGAAGGTTTACCAGGTACAGGTTACCTTAGGGGCATTTTGAAAATTTCGAAGGGCATTTTGAAAAATTCGAGGAGGCAAGAAAAACATTGCGACCATTAAAACGGGCAAACGTGTTCATGATCTTGAGCGAACCCTGACGAAAAATCAACACCTGCTACCCTCCTCACAAACACACAAAAAAAAAGGAAAAAAAAAACTGAAAATCAAAAATATATTTGTGTGAATAATTTTCAGACAATCTCCCCCCCATAGAGAAGGTGGTGTGCAGGGACTGGGCTGCATCCAGCAGGGCTGAAAGCGACTTGTCATGCAGCCACCGCCACCCCATGAAACAGTTTCTGGACTTGGGGACGGCCCTCTTGGTAGACCTTCTCCTTGCATGGGTCCAAGGTCTGTGCAGAAGGGTAGCCGACGGCGAGTCCAACAAGCGCAAAGTCCCACTCGGCACATTTGTATGGCCTCTGTGGGTAAAGCTGCGACTTGCGTGGGTCATAATGGTATCCATCACAACTGTGCGCTTGGTAGGAACACAGTCCAGTCCAATTTGGGTCTTTAAACCAGGCAGACCACCAATCCTTTTTCTTGCATAGATTAAAAAAAAAAAAAAGAAGCTGTACAACGTCCGTGCTAAGCTAAGCCAGCGAAGTCCATCAGCTGTACGTGTGGATGACGCAGTGTCGCTTGAGGTGGTGCATGAGGATGAAGGTCTTACCGCATTCGGCGCAGTTGTACGGCCGCTCGCCGCTGTGCGTGCGCTGGTGCACGCGCAGGCTGCTCTGCTGCGTGAAGCGCTTACCGCACTGCAGGCAGCCGTACGGCTTCTCGCCCGTGTGCGTGCGGTGGTGGATGCTGAGGTGCGACGAGCACTGGAAGCCTTTCCCACACACGGCGCACCAGAAGGCGCGCTTGCGCCTGTGGCTCTGCTGGTGCAGCTTGAACTGGTGCAAGCGGGAGAAGGTCTTGCCACACTGCGCGCAGGCAAAGCCCCGCGAGAAGGGGCGGTGGGCAGGGTCCGGCTGGGCGAAAGACACTTGCGAGCCGGTCGCCGGCGGCCTGTCCGACTGTTCCCCGACTTGGGGACGCCTCTGCGGGTAGACCTGTTCCTTGCGTGGGTCCGACTGAGGTCTGGGTGGAAAGGTGGATGACGGCGGCTCCTTGGGGTACTCGCTGTCATAAACACCGTTACAGGGCGGCTGCAGCGCACCTCCCAATTTACGAGGCGGTTCAGGAAATGCATCCGAGTACTCGTCCACCACGCTAGAAAAGTCCGGGAAAGCAGAGTCAATGTCGTCCCCGTTGATGATGGACGACCAAAGCTGGTGGTCCCGCTCATCCAGAGACACGTCGGCGAGTTGGTTCTGCTTGGCAGCGCCCAGCTGGCATTCGTCCCGGCTAAAGCCGCCCGACGCCGATTCTTCCTTCTCCGTCTTGACCAGCATGTTGAGCCCGCTTACCTCGGTGCTGTGCTCACGCGACGTGAACGAGTCGCCAAAGTCTGAACCAGTCTTCTGAAGGTCCTCCTCAAACCTCTCGGAAACGTTTGGGTACTGGAAAGATGAACTCGTTACTACAAAACAAAAAGAAAAAGTTAGCATTTCGCTTGCATTTCAGATCCGAAGGGGGATTCCGTACTGACTGGAGCTAGCGGGATCACCGATCCACAGAACCTCATCCGGACTCTCTTCCTTGATGGTGAAGGAAATGTTTGTGCCTTCCACCTCAGAACACTGAGCAACAAAAGAAGAGAAGATAGCCCATTACAATGCCTTTGAAGCCTTAATTTAAAAACCTCAAACTTCTTTAAAGCCAGTACAGTCACCAGGTTTGAAATTCCTCCAAGGACAACATGAGTTAGCCAATAGGTGTGTTCAAAAATAATAAAAATAGTTGACCCCTAGACATCCAATATTTTCGGAATGTAAAGGGAAATGTGAGGAACGTATGAAATGTATTGGCTGCTGCCATGTCATCATAGTAAGAATGTGAAACGGTTTTGCGTGACTCACTTTAATGTCTCCCGTTGGATGGGCAGCGTTTCCTTCATCACGTCCTCTGTCCGCCAAATTTTCTGGAAACAAGAAAGGCAAATTATTGGACATGTGTTCACCAGCATCTTTTTTTTTTATGTGAATGATGTCATCAGGAAGCAGCAGACTTGAGCTGTCTGGAGAGTGAACTTCCAACGTACTCAGAATTTGAGACCCCTACTCTGTCTTGAAACGCAACTCTACTTTGAAAACCTAATCCTTGCTTAACCCTAACCCTGTCTAACCCGAATAGAAGACACCAATCCTCAATTAAATCCCTACGCAGGCTTAACATCCTCATTTGAGTCCCTAACTTGAACCTGAATCTCTGATTTGTAACCCTAACCTACACTTGAACCTTATTTGAGACCCTAAATAAGGCTCAAACCCCTTATGTGAAACCCTCATTTTGGCTTGAAACTCTAAACCCTTGTTTGAATCCCTCGTTATTTTTACCCTTATTTATGTTTAAACTATAACCTAGTCTCCAAACCCTAATTTGAATACGTAACCTTGTTGGGAACTCCTACCCTGACTTGAAACCCTAACCGTGTCTTTGGTATTTTTGTAGTGTTTCCATGAAAACAAATTTCCCTCAAATGAAGGCGTGGTCGTCCTCGTTATGATGCTCCTTACCGAAGACTCGCTGCATCTGCGCGTTTTTATTCTCGACCGCCAGAAGCTTCCTCTTCAACATCTCGTTCTCGCTCTGCTTCCGCGAGATTTCCAGGTGCAGGAAGGCACTATTGTCATCGACCAGCTTGCTGATTTCGGCCACCGCCGCCTTCACCAAAACCTCCATGATGGACGACAGCTGCGTTTGAAAAGCGACGCAAGCCATGTTTCCTTGCACTCTAAGAGCACACCAACATGGGGGAAAAAAAACAATAAAGGCGCGCTTTTACGAGCTAGACGACGGTTTAACGGCACGAGGATGTTGTGAGAAACGTTCCATCCCGACTCACAAACTCACTTCCGCGTGGGGGCGGGACCTACCCTAAATAACACACGAAACGCGCAAGATGTTTTTAAAAGCGCACTGACGTGTTAAAGACGTAATGACGAATTTTACCCCACTTAATATTTACAATGATCATAAAGTGTATTTTAAAACCAAAGCTAGTTTTGAATGCTTGATAATAATTTCTAAGTATGAGTAGTTGCTAATGCTAATATCAGTTGATGAAGTGATTCGAATTCAAACTTTTTAAAATGTATTTAAAAAATGAAAATACATAATGTAAAATGTGATTAAATGATCTATCAGTACAGTTAAATTGAGCGGATGTCCAGAATAAACTTTAAATACGTTGCATTCATAGCTGCTGATGCTCACAGCAGTTTTGTTTGACTGTTCAACTTAATAAGCCAATGATACACTTGACAAATCCAATCCAATGTTGATTCTTTTTTGCACGATGAAAAAAAAGACAAATAAGCACACAGTTAAAGGTACAGTAATACATTGTGACATCAACAACAACAACAAAAAGTAATCTGAACTCCAGGTTGTGGTTCTCGTACGAAACGGCAGTCATTTGTATGGAAGCTTTCGCATTAGCGTTCCCCAAACATTTTCATGGTAATTCAAGCGCATTTAGAAGAAAATTGGGAAAAACACTACTGTGGCTTTGAACTCTTCAGTGAAACATAAACAAGAGCATTAGCGTTCCCCAACCATTTTAATCGTAATTCAAGGGCATTTAGAAGAAATTTGGAAAAAAAACACGACTGTGGCTTTGAACTCTTCAGTGAAACATAAACAAAACAACAACAACATATTTACATGTTTTAACACTGAGAAATGTGTTACAATCACATTTCATACCGCTCTTCAATTTGCTTCAAAACAAATAACACTGGCTCAATTACAGACAACTAAATGAAATGTCGCCACTTCTCCAATACATTCCGCGTGAGTGACCACAGCAAGGCCACAAATAACACGTTTTAATGTCAAACAGTGGCTCAAATCAAAAGCTCCTCAGCTTTTTTTGTTAAATCGGGGATAAAAATTGCTGATTTATCTTAATTTCCATCCCAGGGTGCTGCAGAAGTTGACGTACTTTTTTGAAGTGTGGATTATACAGTATGTGGCAGTGTGTGATTCGTAATGGTTTTGTTGATTTCTATTATGCAAGGTATGTACAGGATTGATGTTTTCTCAATAGCATATAGTGGTTGTCGAAACATCTGCATTGTGATATTACAATTAGGAATTATGTGGACTTTTTTTATTTTCACAATTTATTTTGTGTTCTACTTATTTCTACTTTTCAATGTGGAGGTTACCAAAAACTGACAAAGTGCGCTTGTGAACGTCACAGCTTGTTTGCTGGGCTTCTGGGTTCAGGGAACTTTGACATTACTTTCGGTTGACAGCAGAGGGCGGTACAAAGCCGAATGACAAAATGGACGGATTGATCTGCTTAATTCTGATTTCACAGACGCAATATTAATCCGACTAGTTGGGGCACATACAAAATATTGCAAAAAAATGTTTGACTTGAGTTCCCCTTGAAACAAAACAATCATGTCTATGTGAGGTGCAGGTATTATATTTGTCCACTTGGAGTCACCATTCTCATGTACCACTGTAGCATCTGTGAGTTGGGAGTGCGCTTGGCTTTCAAAGGCCTAGTGAGTGACGTGGGTGTCAAGGAGTGTTGAGTGACAGGGTGTGAGTTGTGGAGATGTGCAGCTCATGTATGAACGTCATTGTTTGTTTTCTTCCCGGTTGGCGGTTTTCATTGCCAAAATCGAAACTAGATGAGCTCAGAGGCACATACGTTCGGAAATGTTATTTCTACTGGTGAAGTTTCATGTGGAGCTGCAGTTTGTCGGCCTGGTCAAAGTCCAGACCACAGACGTCGCACTTGAACACCGCTTCGCTTTTGCACTGGTGCCTCTCAAAAAGAACAAAGGAGTCAAAACTCTGCCCGCACGACGAACAGATGTAACAGTTCTGAGCCGAGTCAGAGGACGGCAGACCGAAGTCGAGGATGGTCCCGTCCTCGGACGCCGCCATTCCCACCTGCGAGTACGGATCCAGCATATCCATCTCGCCGTTGGCGGCGTAATCTCGCCACTCGTCGGTGTCTAAAAAGGCTTCGCTCTGGCCCACCTCACCATACGTGCGACCGATACGCGGATCGGCCAAAGCTAACGGTCCGAGCGAGGGATCAGTTGCCGGTTCCTGCGAGCAAGTGTCGGGCATCGGGCACATGATGGGGTGCGGCCCCTGCGTTTCCTCATTCTTGTCTGAAAGAATATAGAAATGAAACGCAATTAGATTAACCATTTTTTCTCGTTTTGAGGATTATTTCTATTCTGCAAGGTGGTGGTTATCATAAATGACTGACTGACTATAGGAGTGAACTCAATCAAATGCCACCAGTATTGTGTGTGTTGTGGAGTTTTCATTATGTAAAACGCCGACAATAAATCATTCATATAGCACTTTCCCCACAGCTGTAGCTGTAACAAAGCGCTATACTGAGCATTTAACATGAAATATCTTCTTTTAAGGACCCTTAACACTTAGAACAATACAAATGACATAGCTAGCTAGCTAGCTAGCTAGATAGAAAGCTAGATAGCAAGCCAGCTAGCAAGCTAGATGGATAGCTAGATAGCTAGATCGCTAGATGCAGGCCTAATCAGATTGTGGACTTTCTTTTGATTGTGGATTCTTTTAAGTCCTTTGTTGTTTATTTGCATTGTGCAACGTGGCTGGTTCTCATGACCCATACCATTCCTATGTGTCTTCATATGGCACTTGAGGCTGGACTTCTGGTTGAAGCATCGTCCGCAGATGTGGCATCCGTAGGGCTTCTCGCCGGTGTGGATGCGCAAGTGTCGCTCCAGATGGCCGGCACGCACAAACATCTTACCGCAGTACGAGCAGAAGAAGCACTTCTTGGGCCGGGACCCTTGGTAAAAGGAGCCAGTGCCTTTTCGTGGGCGGCCGCATACCTCCCACGGCAGACCGCGGGGGCCGGCGGTGGCACAAGGGTACGGCAGCTGAGATGGCATTACGTTTTTGTTGTTTCCTCTGTAAGGCTTTTCAGGGAATGCGAAGGTGCTGCAAGAGGCCTCGGCGTGAGGCGGGATAAGATGAGCTCCCGCCGGGACCGCCGTGCCGTTCTGCGGCGACCAATCATTTGCCCCGTCACGTAACGTGGGCGACTTCTGATTGTCCGCCACTTCTCTTTCAGGTTGTGTCACACTCTCCTCCACGGGCTCTGATTTGACCGTTGCGGTATGGGTGGAATCCGGACAGTTAGCGGAAATGTGATCGGCCGCCGACGTAACGTCGTCCTCTGCTGGACGATGGGTGTTGGTGCTTGGGTGCTTTGTTGGGGGTTGTTGGAGGTCAGCTGGTGCCGTCTGAAGACCTGCAAGGACAAGTTGTTGACCGGAGACTTAAAAGGGAACTCAAGGAAAACGTTCCGTTACGTTACTCTAAACATGGAATACTGGTTAACATTACACTGGTGGAATAAGAATAAAGCACTTTCAACAATCCATTTTCATCAGTTTCAGGGTGCTGCTATTTTGTCCTATACCGCCCCCTGCTGTTGACTAGAACTGACATCAAAGTGCCCTCGGGCTTGCATTGTGAACGTCACAGCTCTCCTATTATCTGGGTTTGGTCGCATAACGCTGGCAATGTATGCCTAAAGGCACTTTGGCATCGATTTCAGTTGATTGATGAAAATGGATGGATTAATCTGCTTAATTCTATAAAAACATTTTTTTTTGCCATGAGTTACTTATTCATCCAGAACCCAAGCAATGCGGGATATTTCTGCAACCATTTAACACTTTCAAACAGCCACACAGAATCCAGCAATCCAAAAAGTACGACTTGTTCACTCATGGATCATTGTTTATGATCGAACTGATTGTTAGCAGATATTTGCTCTAGGAACGATTTTTTTCTTTTTTCTTTTTTTTTTATACACACTAACGCATTACAACATGTGACAAAGATAATGACAGTCAAACAAACAAAAAAAAAGGCCAATCGTTTATCAAAATCTTATTCTGCCAAATATAATCGACATCGGCCTCAAAAATATCGGACGGGCACTATAACTGTTCATCTATCTATGCCAGTGCCTTATAGTGACAAGCAGAAATGAAGGCGGGATATTATAGAACTAAAATCAATGTGGCGCATTTGCGTGTTGGACTCTGCTCGAGCTCTGATTCACACAACAACAGCGAGACGGGATCAAATTGGCTTGTGACTGACATCTCTGGTGGATCTTGGTGTGCTCCTTGAGGCTGCACTTCTGGTTGAAGCGTCGCCCGCAAACATCACAGCGGTACGGCTTTTCCCCCGTGTGAATCCTCTTGTGCCGCTCCAGGTTTCCGGAATGCTCGAAACATTTCCCGCAGAAGGGGCAAGTGAAGCCGCGCTTGAACATCAGGCGGTTGACCATCCGGCGCCGCATGTTGCTGTACAAGTGGCGGTGCGCCCCGCGACTGGCAGCCCCCGCCTGCCGGACGTCCGCCGGAACGTCGGTTAGATTTTCACGCGGTCTTTCCGTCGGTGGTCCGGGTTGATCGCATCCCTCCTGTTCTGTGGGTTCGCGCTTTACCACCACATCAAGGTTGGGAAAGTCGCTTTGGAGGTTTTCTGGGCTCTCAGCTTCAGCGACGCCTGTGGACGGACACGAAAAATTCCTTTTCATGCAGAAATCCTGAAAATTTAACAAAGCAAAGTAAAAACGATTGACCCAAACAAGTCTGTCAAATTAAACACGTTAATAGCTTAAACTATTCCAATTGCAAAAATAAAAGTGCATTTAAAGAATGAGATCTCACAGCAACCAGACAGTGCATGTTTTGTAAGGAAGCATTTTGGAAACTGAGTATAATGTGTCTATCTCGGAACCGGGTCTCCTCCTCGACTTTATCTGTTAATTCATTTTGGTCTACATACAAGCATGAGGGATAGAAAACTATAACTGCGAAATGTCATGCATATTGAACTGTTGTCAAATGTTACTCACCGCTGCTGCTCAAGAGGTAGTCAATGACATTACCACTTGAGAGTAAATGTCAAGTTCCAGGAAGTTACCTGAAAGCTTCTTGCAAATGTCATGAGGTGCATTTCAGTAACGTTGTGAAGAAGCTTATATTGGAGTATTTTATGAGAAGAATGATGTGGTAAATTAGAGGTTGCAAAATTGAGATTTTTCGAGTAACCCAGCATCACTGGTGGGGTGACAGCGGGGATTGTAACGTGATCCCCGTACTCATTAAGTGTAATGTTACAAGTGTCTGATTCACGTGTTGTATCACTCCGTTACCATTTAAGCGTTAATGTACGAATGTAACGCGTTACCCTCAACACCGTTGAAGACACAAAGCTGTTCTTTGACGTTACCATAGTTTCACGAGACAAAATTCTCTCATGTTTACAAAAACTTGTACGTTGGCACGCCATGAATGCAGTGGGCTGCACTCCAACCGGGGTCCAAGGGTACCCACCTCGGGGGTGTTGCTGATGATGCTGTTGAGCTCCCCGCAGGCTGTCCGCCGTGCGGTGGGCGGCTCTCAGCTCGCCGTGCAGCACCTCCATGCTGCTCCTCAGCCGCCGAATCTCGTGTTCCCGTTGGGTCACCTCCAGGCGCAGTACCACCATTCCATCCTCCACCACTTTGGTGATCTGCGCCGCAGCGGCGTTGCACAGGGCGGTAATGATGGAGCCGATCTGGCTGTGGAGAGCCGCGCCACTCGACATGATAACTGCGAGAGGGCCACGGAAACAATCGCCTCAACCACTGGGGGAGGTTTACACTTGGGGGGCCTGGTTGAGCTACTTCGGCGTGCGCATCGTACGCGCTGTTTTGCACTAGCTAACTAGCTAATTGAGTGTAAACACAACTGCAGCTTGGGCCGCAAATCGTGGTGAATGTAGTACCGTAAAGCAACTCCACAGGACGTAAAACATAAACCCCGTAAATATTATTGTCGCCGGAAATCGTGCGGCGAGTCGTACCGTAAACCAAATACAAAAGACGCAACTCGTCTTCGCGAGGAACAAATAAACAAAATATTTAATTTGTATTTATTTGTTATTTTATTGAATATTTTGGGAATAAAAGGTGCTAAGTACATTACACAGCAAATATTTTTGTTTTTACAAAAATAGTTTTGACAGTGTAAGTTATTGTTCATGATTATAAAAAGTAGAAATAATTACATCTCCATTCACTCTTTGACAGAAAATGAGGTCTATAGGTGCCTCTGTTGAAATGAACGTCTTTAACCTTTCGAGGAGCAGGAAATGAAATTTATCTGTTTCTTACGTTGCTCTTATCTACAATCTAATGTTTTGCAATGATGAATTTCTTCATGACGGCTGATAAGGGGACAAAAATGTGCAGGTGAAGTAATGTTTGTATCTCAGGTTCCAGTAGTGGAGAAACTGCTGATAAAAAACTTTATCAGCAGCTTAACTTTTAGGTTAAAAATAACGCAGATCTCAATTCGATTGACAAGTGTAAGTCGAGGGGTTCGTAGGTTTTAGATGGATTTGCTCTACGTTTAGAATGGGCAAAAAGCGGAGGCCTTCCTATGAGGAAGCAGAGTTTGGAGACAAAAGTAATGAGATAAGTGTCTTCTCAAGCGTTCCATTGATGATGTAATTGCTGATAAAAACAGAAGGGTTCATTCTGAAATGTTTGGGACGAAATTGTGTACAGTATATTCATACATACATACATACATATATATATATATATATATACACACACACATGAGGGTCACGTGTTGGAGTTGATCCTATATGTCTTCGGGCACCAGGCGGGTTACACCCTGAACTGGTTGCCAGCCAATCGCAGGGCAAACAGACAAACAAACATTCGCATGCACAATCACACCTAGGGGTAATTTAGAGTGTTCTTTTAACCTGCCACGCATGTTTTAGGAATGTGGGAGGAAACCGGAGCACCCAGAGAATACCCACACAAGCACAGGGAGAACTCCACACAGGAAAGCCGGGCCCTGGAATCAAACCCTACATCTCTGCACTGTGATGTGGACATGCGAAGCAGTTTCTCACTGTGCCATATATATATATATATATATATA